GTGCGTTCTACATAGTCGCCCTGACAACAAGACCAAGTTGCGACAACGAGGTCAACCCACTTCTACAAACAGTTAGACTTCAGAATGGAATTAAATTTTATATTTCCTTGTCCTCGAAAAGATGTTCTAGTTTATCCTGGACGGCAGGTTCGACCCCGCCTGGGTCTCATCAGCACTACCAACAAGCTTCGAACCCGTATCGTGTATTTTAAGTCTCGACTGTATCACTCTATCACGGAACATATGAAGTTCAAATAAGACAGGCCTCCGTCATTTGAGAAGATTTCGACAATTCCAATATAAGTGTGAATTTGGAGTAGACAGGCTTGTCTTGAGATGCATATACAAATCCTGTAACGAATTGGTGCTGCTAGCCGTGCGGTGCTATTTCGAGAATATTTCTCGGGTTGCTGATGCAAATCATGCGAGATCGAACCTGCCTTGCAGTTCGAATGAGAAAGCCATTTTTGTAATTACTGCACTGTGAAATTTAGTGCTATCATATGGTCTATACGTTTTATTTTGGGACGATTCAACAATCAGCATTTTATGCAACTAGATCTACCGATAATTCCTATGTCGACTCCCCACTTATGTTGGGCTAGCAACAACATACAATAGCCGAGTCATGAATTATATGGTACGACAACGACAATTGTCCGTCATAATTCAGAGTGTAGGCTGCGTATCGCGATTCGACGAAGTCTTCACGTCTACCGGCTGAACTTTGCTGCTTGACAGGACTCTTCATTGAGGCCTTCAACTACCATGTCGGCAAGCCGTTGTCCACGGGGCCGGACAGACGTTTCGATGCCAAAAAGGACACACGCTCAAAATTCCTACCAAGCTCCGGATCTGTACGACCAGGTTTTCAGGCCAGAGATTATCGTGAGGGTCAAGGCCCACCCATAGGGATCATAATAAGGACATATTGTGATAACTTCTGTGCTCTATTGAGCTTTATAAATGCATTCCAAGGCTGTTGGTAAGGCTCACGTTCTGGTGACAACGATGCCATCGACACGTTTGTTACGAATGGAAATCACACAAAGCCTGGGCGACCAGACCCCAGAGAAGTCACTTCAACTGGCCATATGGGATACTTTTCTTGTGACAAAACAAAGTAGGAAAGGATATAAAGAGAAGCTGGCTTTCGAAGAACCCCTTAGTATACTTATACTGGCATACATTTCATTTCGCTTGTGAAGGTGGGTGGAAGAGATTCGTAGATTGGCCGCATCGGAAGCAGAAGTAGGATTTCCTTGAACCTTTGTCTGCTGAATTGTGCGAAGAAGACCTCGGCTCACCGTCCTACGACGTAGATCACTCCGTGCTTAGCGTTGGTTCATCATGTCAGACGAACAATCACCGAAAAACCCAAACCAAGAAAGGTTTTTTGGTGATTTTTCGTGAATTATGGTTTTTGGTTCTGACGATGTCCGTCACAGGATGGACGAATGCTCAGCTCTGAGTCATCGGGGTCGTAGGACGTTGAGACGATGCCTTTTTCGCGCAATTCAATAGAAAAAGTCCAAGGTAGCCCTCCTTCTGTATCAGATGAGGCCAATCTGCGAATCCCTTTCACCCGCCCTCTCAAACGAAATGAAAGGTATGCTAGTATCTAAGCCGACAACGTTCTTCGTGTAAGGTCAGCTTATCCAGCAGATGATGTATTGGAGAGCTTCTAGCAAAAAGGGCTATCTGTAAACCAAGGGGTGAAAACAAACTAACAAGATCAAGCTGGTGAGTTTGTCAGTTTATGTTGTTGTATTTCGTTTGAAAAGCAGCTGGTTAGGTTAACACAACTCATATATCTGATTTATTGGTAGTCTCGAAAACCTACTCACTTACGGAAAAAGTAATTTCGTCGATTGCTATAGCAAATATAAGTTTGCTTTATCGACAATCCCAACACAGAATGTGATATGGAAAATGCCTGACATTCCTTACAATTCACATCTGCCCTGTGACCCAAGAGTACTCGTGGCAATGTGGCGTAGTGGTCGACGTGTCGAGTCTACAGGCTGCACTGTCACGGTTCGACTCCCACCTGGGGTGTTGATAAGACTTATGTGAGGTCAAAACTGCAGGCTATTCTGGATAATCACACATTTTGGGCAAGCACAGCTATGTGACATTCAATGTCATTGTTTCAACATTCAACTACGGGTCCTTCATCACCTTAACCGAAATAGGATGGACACAACTCATGTATTTGATTTACGGGTAGTCTCGAAAACGTAATCGCCTACGAATAAATAACTGAAAATAGAATTATCTGTTTTGATTGTAAATTTTTGCCTAGTCGTTCTGAAATTGGGGTGCCTAGGATTTCATCAAGCGAATCCACCGTCGCAACTGCAAAATTCAATGCTAGTCCGCTTCCTGGCCACTTTGAGAATATCTTCCAACCGCGTTTAGAAATGAAATTCATTTTTCAACAACATGAATCTATCAAAGAAGTCCTCGAAACCCAGGTTTATCCTTTTATACCAGACGAGTTCGTATCTTGGTGCGGAGAATGGCAAGGCTCACTGATGATGCCGACTACGAGGCCGGCGAAATGTTTGAGAATGTA